ATAAAGAGTCCCTCCCCATCTTTCTTGTAGGCCTGCTTTAAGTACTGGAAGGCTGCCATGAGGTCTCCCCAAAGCCTTCTCTCCTCTAGGCTGAACAACCCCAACTCTCTCAGCCTGTCCTCATATGCTTACAAAGCTTTCGGTGCTCAGGTCTATTACTGTCAGCAGCACAGGTAGAAAATACCAACACTAATTGGTGCAGTATTTTATAGCTATAATCGTCCCTTGCTTGCTTAAACAGCCTGACATGATGGTTAAACCTGAGGTGTCTGATGGGAGGTCATGTGTTCCCAGTGACGCAGGGGACTCATAGGCAAATCAGCAATACTGCCTGTGATGGCTAAGAGAACATCAGAACATAAGGGGACGTAAGGATAGATTCAAGTCATAAAGGTTGTGTCACTGAGGATGAACAGCTAGTTCTCTGTCCTGCAGCCTCCTCCCTATTGCAGACGATACAAATCAGCCCTGTCCCTTTCTGTCACGAGACTGGGGACTGATGAGCTGGGAAGTGGAGTCCAAAACTGCTCACGCTTCTCACTTACCCTCAGCCGACGTCCAAAGACGGTGACCTGCCCTCTCGCTTGCTCCTTCCTCTGCCTCCACTCCACGAGATTGAGGCCGTTGTCGATGGGCAGGGTGACGTTCCTCTTCCCCACCGTGGGGTTGACGGTGCCAGCCAGCAGATGCGGCTCAGTTTGCAGGGCCACCTCCATGCCGTTAGCAAGCATCAGTCTGAGCGAGCCATCAGCGCCGATGTAGTAGCTGTTTCGGACTTGGTCTGAAGACAGAAAAGAGTTCTTTTCTGATCTGCCCAAAGAGATCTGCCCAATGATACCGCCCCAGCTTTTCATTTTCTCCCTCACCCAGGCTTCATCAGCATTTCTGATGGTTGTAACCAAATGTGCTGTCACTCACCCTTCCCACTCTCAGTGAGCAAAACATTGGTTTCATCAGTGAACATAAAGACGGACAATCTCTCTCTCATTCTGATGAGGTTCTGCACCTCTGACTCTTGCAGAAAAGTCTTACACAGGTTAAAAAAGGCACCAGTGGAAGAGTCATGTAATACCCTAGCAAAGGACACGGGTTCAAACCTCTTCCTCTGGGCTAGAACACTGGGTGGTGAGATATTTGTTTTAAATAACAGCCTGGCTGAAAACTTTCCACGCTTTTATATCCTCAAGATCCCAATTTCACTACAATATATGAAAAAGTGGGGCCACCTACTTTCCTCAGCTTATTCGCCATCTCACAAGTGACAGGAAATTGCCCAGTGAGTTAATGCTAACCAGTTCTCCAAACAACAGCCAAACCCTTTCACTCGGGAAAGCTTTCAGGAGGTAACTGAAGTCCTCATCTTTGGAGAGAAAGCAGAGGCACTAAGCTCCCACACATCTCCATACATCTGGCCTCCACTAGCTCTTGAAAGATCAGCAGCTTTTGAGGCCAGGATTTGGGAGTTCAGGAGTGGAAGAGAAGAACAATCTCTCTTCCACATCCTTCAGGAATCAGGCAGGCTGAAAGCCTGTCCTTTGAATCTCCAGCTGGCATTTCTCTCTGCAGAGAGCAGCTCATGAAGGGTAAGAAAGCATGAGACTTGCTCAGTGCAGAATGGCTTTAAAAGCACATTATACAAAGACTGCCTTATTGGAAGCTCCTCAAAAGCTGGAAAATATTACAATTTCTGTCTCCCAGGCTGCCATAAATACCTAATTGTGAATAAAAACACCCATTAAAAATTCATGTCAATTGTTTTTCCGTTCTGAGGCAAGTTGGGTTTTGTTCACTAGTTGCTCTGCCATAGCTCAGCAGGCGGTCACAGCTCAGGAAACGAGGTCACAGCGAAATTATCATCTCTCGTCTGGACAAAATATATCAGCAAAGAGCACAGTTTGGTATAATTAGGAAAGGAAACCTGACACCAGTTGGTCTTTTTTATTGTGAGTCTGATCCTCCTCCTGTTGTAGCCAGCTGGAGTCTTGCCACACTGATCTCAGCAGGACCACAACTCAACTTACTGTACACAGTAGTGATGGTGTGAAAATACTGTGGCACTGGATTTTGCCACTATAAACATACAGCAGTGATCCACAGTGTAGACCCAAGTATTTTAGCTATACCACTGAGTACTTAAGTTGATGGTCTTTTGACATAGACTCCAGCAGGATCAAACCCACTCCACGCTTGATTCTGCAAGTGGAGAGAAGGGGGACAGTCAGCTGGCTGTCACACTTCTGTTATTAGATGCTTGGTTCGGTGAAAAAGTGGTAGGAGATGCGCTTTAAATCAAGTCAGTGAAATATCTCTGCACAGCTAGTATATTCCTCCCTCCTTCATCCTTCACCAGGAAGCACGGGAAAACTTGACGGTCTCTGTGAAATTCACTGGACATGTGAAGTTCCCTTTGTGTCACACAAGCACCGCAGAGGGGTTACGGTAGATTGTCACTAGTAGTGTGATACAGTGTGGGTAATGTAAATCCTCCATTTTCAACATTTTCCCAAGAGAAGACTCCTTCCTGGCTTTGGAATGCATTTCTCAAGGGGTACATGAAATCCAGGGGCCATTGGATGCTGTGTTTTATGCTGCTTTGGCTCTAGGGCACTAGTGCCCTATTTAGGCCTTGAACAAATGCTCACTTTGTCACTAATCCAGAAGACAAAATCCCATTGAGGTCCTGAAGTGCCTGTTAGCTGTAGACGCTCTTAAATCCATCCTACAGGAATCTGTAACCTTCTGAAAATGCCTTCTCAGACCTCACCTGTTCACTGTGTGATCCAGGTTTCTTGAAAGGTGCACCAAGGATTTGTGACAGCTGGCCAGAGCTGTGAGTCCAGAAGCAAAATGCACGAGCAGCTCTCATGCAAAGGGAATCTGCAACACGCATTTTCCCTGGAGAGCAACGGAGCGAGCAAGACACTCACAGACCTTGAGAATGGCTCCAGCTCCATCCGCTGGAGAGGCACTTGGAAGGAAACTTCACTTCAGCTGTGCTCAATACATCCCTGGGCAACTCCAGCAGCCCTTGTTTCAGTTTCTATAGTGCTGCCATGAACAAACAGCTACTTCAGTTTGGGAATTCACAGTCCCCAACACCTGCGGGAAAGCCACCCTCAGCAGGTCGCAGGCCACCTCTGCTGCAATGTTATCCAGGTCTTCATTTTAAGATAAGTGAGTTTCTTCAGATCTAAATAGTTTCGTAATTTTATACTTCTGAAGATGGTTAAACTATTTGTAATACTACATGTCCTAACGGCGAGAGTGCCCCTGTGCTGGAGGGCAGTACAATGAGATAATTGACCGTGGCACCATTATGTAACTGTGCCTTCAGCTCTGGGCGTATAAATCAAATCACAGTCAATTATCTCACTAAAGAGCCCCCAACAGCGGGCTCTATTGCTTAATTAGGCTCTTGAGGTGAAGCCAACCTTGTGTCTGTGCAGTTGCCAGACGTCTTAATGCGAGTGGATGGGATGGGGCGGGGTAGGTTGGATCTGCTTTGCAGGCTGAAGTAAAGAATAAGAAAGTCATTGTGTTCCCCTGCAGGAATAGTGAGTACGGCTTGAAGGGGCTGGTACCCTCTCAGCCGTCCTCTCCAGAGGCAGGAAAGGCAGTTTTCAGGCATAGCAGGCACTTTCTTTAAGGAAAGCTTGCTGTTATTATAAGGAGGGGGAGGGAAATGTGTGTCCCAGAGATGTGGGACCAAATGTGACTCTGGAAAACATTGGTCTCACTTGGAGCACTTTGTTCCTCACGAGGGGAAATGGTGTTTGACACCCCATTGACATCAGGCACAGACTATGATTGAATGAGAGCTGGGAAGTGAAAAAAACAGAGTCTGGTGGTCCTTTTCCTTTCTCCAAGCCCCAGGGAACAGGACTGATGGCACAGTTTGTGCACTACAACTTCTGCCCCTACCAGTATGTCAGTACAGTGCTCCCCTGCTATTTTTTCCTCTTCTTTTTCCCACTTCATCACCTTTTCCTCCACCTCATCAATCCTCCACTTCCCCACCTTACCATCACCGGCAGAACTATGCTCATTTCCAACAGCCGCGAACCAGTCCCACCAGTCCTACCCTGACTGCCCACCTCTCCATCCTCCTTTGTGCCTCTCCATGCCAGCCCTTTAGCTTAAACGCAGACCTTCTGGGGACAGGGATGGTCATTCTTCTGGATGCTGCCTTGTGAATGTTTGAACAGCCAGTGAACAAAGAATCAGAGAGATCTCCAGCAACAAGCTGGAAGCCTGTTCCAGGAGAGTAAACTGTTAAGTTAGAAGCCATTAAGAGAACGAAGCAAAGGGGTCAGCTGGAAGCGCGGCTAGATTTATGCAACCCTTTTTGTTATAACAATAATGGTAATGATGATGGAGGACTGTACTGCATAAGGGCTGCACGGCAAGGGGACTGGCTGAGAATGAAGCAGAAAACAGCTGCAGAGCAACCACAGCGCGAGGGAATGTGGCTAAGTAGGCGTGAGTGTGCATCTGTACCAGCATGTGGGGAGCTCTGGCACGCTGTGGATGCAGGTGATTTTTGGTGCTGGGATTATCGAGACAATGCCTGTTTCCTGATGGATAATCCATTGTGTGAAGCTTGGCTGGGAGAGGGACAGCGGCCCAACTCACCTTGGAGCAGGGTGTAGAAGGCTCCTGATGCCGACAAATTAGTTGTTATCGTAACATCATCCTTGCTGGAGGTTTCCACCTGGACATGCACAGAACTGTCGGTATCGCTGCGGAAGCTGCTCACTTGGCCAGTAGGAAAGGTCACGTTGGTCAGGCGCCCAAAGCTGTCGTACCTGAAAGGGAGGATGGAGTGAAGTCAACAGCATCTACAGAGGAGTGGGATACAGGAATCATCCTATAAAGCAGAGACCAAGTCTTGAAGTCATCACCCAGATTTTTCCCAGAGAAAAACGCATTGTCAGTCTGTCAGACCGTCTTGACTTTTTCGGCTTCATGAGAAGAAAATCACAGCTTTTAGCTGAAGAAAATCAAGCAAAGAACAGAAAATGACTAAATAAGTATTAGCCTGTATTTTAACATTTTTCCTATACTTATCACCTGCACTGTGCTTCTTGTTTACAAGAGTAACTTTATTTCCATTCACTGTGCTGTGACTTATGGAAAAGCACTGGCCTATGCACCCTGTCTAGCAGAACTAGGAGTTTCTGAAGTCCACCAACTGTTTTGTCTGCTTGTGTCCTGAGCTCTTCAGCAACTTGGTTTTTTTTTTTTTTCCCTATCTTATTTTAAAAGCTAATGTTAAGGTAGCAGCAAGGAGCTTCCAGATGGACCACATCAGGTAGAGAACTGTCCTTTGTGAACATGGTGTAGAGCCCGGAGCACAGCTGAGACCCCCAGGTCTAGCTTTTACTGTTCCTAGGACCATCTGGAAGGACTGATTTAAAAGTGTACAAAAGCAGTTCATTTTTCACCCCTACTGAGTCCTTGGCTTTTCCAGTGAGGGAGTCAACATAAGCACCATCTGGGAAGGTTTCTGTGATGTGGACACCTGTGTACCAGGACCCAGATGAAATAAGCTACATATATGCAGGTCCCACAGCGGTTTACAAACTGGGGGGTTATTTTTCAATAAAAAGGAGAAGCAGACACCTGTGCCTAGAGGCCTCCCGTGTCGATGGAGCAAACACACCATCCTGCCTCCCATTTGTGGCATTGCAAAAAGGGTGCCCTTGGGTCACAGACTGAGCTAAGAGCAGAGGGTTAGCAAGGGACCTTGGCAGTGAGGCTATTGTAGACTGAAATGGAGAGCAGCAGGAAGCTCTACTGGCTTATCTCTGGAGAGCTGTTGGACCTTCTGATGAGACAGACCTTCAGGGAAGGGGTATTTAACTAGTCAAGGAGAAATAGGAGAAAAATTCCAGCAAAAGCAATCCGTGATAACATTTGACTTTTTTCAAGTCCTGCCCACATATCATTTAAGAATGATTTATATGACATATAGGAAGATCATATCAAGAAAACACACCACTTGGGGATGCAGAGTGAATGGTGGGTGAGCAGAGAGGACTCGTTCTCCTGTGATAGCCAGTGGTTAGCCTTTGACGGAGCATGGTGTCCAGTGAAGGGCACCGTTCCTCAGAATGATAAAGTAATGTAAATGATATGTTAAGGATAAGCTTAGAAAACATGACCTAAGAGGCAAAGCCAAAAGAAATGAGCTGATTTAGAAGAGAAGAAACAAGGAAGTGGGAAGATGCCACCCTGACAATGGTTGTTCTAAAGAGAATTAAAATTAATTGTTTGTCATGTCTACGGAGGGTGTGACAAAAAGTAATCAGCTTGAATGGAAACAAGGAAGATTCAGGTCAGAAGCTGGAGAACATTTTCCAGGCCCATGTTTGCTCCAAGCAGAGGAACAGATGGAGCGCTGGAAACCTCATTGCCCAACACTTTTAAGAACAGGTGAGAGAAATGTGTTAGAGAGGGTCTGGATGCAGTTGACCAGACCTTGGAGGGAGTAGATGGTTGAGGAGCTCTTGATCCTCCTCTTCAGGATTACTCTGAGCTGGGGAATAAGACTACAGACCCCATCTAATAACAAAAAAAAAACCCTAAACAAACAAAGCAAGGCAAGGCAAGGCAAGGCAAGGCAAGGCAAGGCAAGGCAAGGCAAGGCAAGGCAAGGCAAGGCAAGGCAAGGCAAGGCAAGGCAAGGCAAGGCAAGGCAAGGCAAGGCAAGGCAAGGCAAGGCAAGGCAAGGCAAGGCAAGGCAAGGCAAGGCAAGGCAAGGCAAGGCAAGGCAAGAGAAAAGAAAAGAAAAGAAAAGAAAAGGAAAGAAAAGAAAAGAAAAGAAAAGAAAAGAAAAGAAAAGAAAAGAAAAGAAAAGAAAAGAGAAAAAGTACTCTTGAACTGCAACCCATGAGACACCCAGGAGCAGCTGTTGGACGAGCTCTGCACTGTACAGAAAAAGAAATTAGTCTCCTCTTCCATTCTCTTTTTTCCAGATTTATACACAGTGCTGATACTTTGCTTTTGTTAAGATGCTGGAAGTGACTCTGTGTGAGGAAAGGCTGGTTGAAAAGGTGATTTTTGCCCAAGCTTAATATTTAGTGTATAGTGACTAAGTGGGTGAGCTCATTGCAAGTCTCCCCAGCCCTTGGGTTTGGAGACACCATCACGTGAGGCTTTTCTTGCCCACTGGGCAGAAGGGGAGGTAGGAAGGTAGAAGAAAGCATTTGGCCCTCCACAGTGTCAGCCTATCAGTCATGGGATTATCCACGCATGGAGGATGAAGCAGCCTTGCCCTTTCCCTCCAAGAGCTTGGCGATCAATCAGCCACTTGTGAAATGGAAACGAAGAAAGAAAGAAAGAAAAAAAAAAAAAGAAAGGGATGAATTCAGGACTGCATTGCAGGAGTCTGGCAGAGACCAGTTAAAGCTTTTCCAAGCAGCTAGCAGTGCACAGCTTGGATCTAAACTGAATCTCCTTGCAAGAGCCAGAACTAAAGTGCTCTCGGTACCAAATGCTTTGCTCCCTGTTTGGGGCTGTCCTGTTTGCACTGAGACGGTATGCGTTTTGATTGTGCTTTCTGTACTATCATCTGCACCTCTCCTCCTAAAACAGTATGTGAGTCTTAAGCTGAAAATGTCACAGGCAATATCTTTACCCCATCTGCTGAGACAGGACACAAGGGGCACAATTTAGTCTCTACCTTGAGCAGAGAAAACACTGTTATTGCTAAAGATGTCTTGTGTAACACCCCAAATTCTTTCTACCTCAACATCAATAGTCCTATATATAAACTAGCCTGAACTGTAAGGGTAGACTCAGATCCCAGCTGCTCCAAAATTTAAGGAAGATGGATCTGAATTTAACACCTCTGACTTGGTGGTATTAGCAACTGTAAGAGATTTATTTGTATTGTTCTATTTAAATTTTAAAAAATGAGCTGCTCCTGAAATTGAGCCTGATTCACCTCCTAAAAATAATGGCACAAATTTAGACGTGCTGCAGTGAAGTCTAAGGGGTGACTTTGGTGTAATACAGGTGTGAGTGCGAAAGGAAGCAGGTCTGCGGATTAGGGA